AAAACAAACTGAGGGTTCTAGAGGGGAGGGGCGTGGGGGGATGGGTTAGCCTGGTGATGGGTATTAAAGAGGGCACATTCTGCATGGAGCACTGGGTGTTATGCACAAACAATGAATCATGGAACACTACATCAAAAACTAATGATGTAATGTATGGTGATTAACATAACAATAAAAAAATTTAAAGAAAAAAAAGAAAGTGATAAGTGCTATGGAGAAAATTAAAAAAATGGAGCACTAATGGGGATTAGAAATTCCGTGTGTGTGTGTGTGTGTGTGTGTGTATGCATGTAATTTAAAATAGGGTAATTCAATGTGGTCATTGTTAAAACTTAAAGGAAGTAGCTATGCTACCTGCTAGAGCAGGCAGAAGAAACAGTAAATGCAAACCTTCTCAGGTGGGGGTGTGCCAGGAATGCTTGAAGAATTGCAAGAAGGCCATTGTTGTGGAATAAAGTTAGCGAGAAGAGAAGAATAAGAGATGATGTCAGAAATGCAGCAAGAGTTGAATCCTGTAAGACCTTGTAGGCTAGGCCATTGGATAGAATTTGGCTTTTATTATGAATCAAATGGAGAAACACTGAAGATTTTGAACAGAAACCTGACAAGGAAACTTCTTGGCTTCTGTGTTTTTGTAAAACTCAAGGAGATCAAGGGAAGAAGTGGGGAGACCATTAATTGGGTACTGAAATAATCTAGGGATGTATAATGGTGTCTAGAACCAGAAAGTAATAGAAATGTGAGAACCAGTCAGAATCAGATATATATTGAAGGTGAGGCAAATAGAATAAATAGTTTACAAGGCTAATTCACATATATTTACAGTTGTAAAATTTCTAAGTAAATTAGAAGTAATCCAACATTGTATAAAAAATATTATGGACAAAAATTTCCCAAGTTAGGTGAAATACGTAAATTTACAGATCAAAGAAGGAAGCTCAGGAAAAGCAGGAAAAATTTAAAGATAAGCGCACTTACATCAGGTGATCTGCGTACATCTAATGTACAGTATGGGTAAGGAACAACTAATCTATGGAATGAGGCAGCAAGTCTGCAGTGCAGCTGGTGGTTGAGTGCTAAGCCCTGTGACTCAAAGTGTGGTCTGAGGACCAGCAGCAGCTGCATCCTCCAGTTAGAAATGGAGAATCTCACACCCTACCTCAGATTTATGAAATAAAATATGTGTTTGAACAAGACCCCCAAATGTTCTTGGGCACATTAAATTCTGAGAAGCATTAAGACACCTGAGCTCACTATGGTCTTTGAATGGCTGGGTTAAGGCTATAATTAAAGGTATCTTCCTAGCCCTAATCTCCTCCACTTAACCAAGCAGCCTTCAATCTTAATTTAATTTTACTAGTGTGCCTCCCTAATGGAAAGAGACATTTCTTTATTACGATGCATTAAGTTGGATTTCAGATGAGAGCCAGACTTCTTCAAAAGTCTAAAAGAATTTTTTGAATAGGAAGAAAGCTTGTCCCATTACAGTGCCCTTATACGATGGCTTTCAATTCCAGCTGCATATTTAGAAGTGCCCCAGGAGCTTTAAAATATACTGGTTCATACCAGATCTACTGAATTATAATTGCTGGGGGTGGAGCCACAGATTGGTATATTTTAAAGCTCTCTAGTGAATTTAGTGTGCAATTAGCTTTGAGAACCACTATGAATGAACTCTCAGTTTATTGACTTATATAACAATGCCTCCTTTAATCTGAATACAGTGGAGTCAGTATAGCTTTCAAGTTTATCCTCCTTGGAAACTGTTATCAATCACTTCATTAAAATGTATTAATCTGTATTATACAATCAATTAAATATTTAGTACATGGTGAGGTGGTATGCATTTCACTTCATCCTTATTTCACAGTTAACAGTTGATTATGTCTTTTTTAAATATTAAAAAGTATTTATTTATTTATTTTCTTTCCAAGTTTTTATTTATTTATTCATTCATTCATTTTTTGGGAGAGAGTGTGAGCACGAGCTGGGGGGCAGGAGGAGGGGCCGGGGATGAGCAGAGAGAGAGAGAGAATCTCAAGCAGGCTCCACACCCAGAGTGGAGCTTGATGCAGGGCTTGATCTCATGACCCTGAGATCATAATCTGAGCCGAAATCAAGAGTTGGATACTTTACTGACTAAACCACCCTGGTGCCCCCCGATTTTTTATTCAAATTCTAGTTAGTTAACATTCAGTGTAATATTACTTTCAGGTGTAGAATTTAGTGATTCATCACTTACATACAACACCCAGTGCTCATCACAAGTGCCCTCCTTAATACCCACCACCTATTTAACTCATCTCCCCCATCTACCTTCCCTCCAGTAATACTCCGTTTGCTCTCTACAGTTAAGAGTCTGTTTCTTGGTTTGCCTCTCTCTTTTTTTTTACTCTTAAGTTCATTTATTTTGTTTCTTAAATTCCACATATGAGTGAAATCATATGGTATTTGTCTTTCTTGGACTAATTTATTTCACTTAGCATAATACTCTTTAGCTCCATTCACGTCATTGCAAATGGCAAGATTCCATTCTTTTTTATGGAGTAATATTTCATTATATATATATATATATACCATATATATATATATATACATACATACCACATCTTCTTTATTCATTCCATATACCACATCTTCTTTATTCATTCATCAGTTGATGGACATTTGGGCTCTTTCCATAATTTGGTTATTGTTGATAATGCTGCTATAAACATCAGGGTGCATGTATCCTTTTGAATTAGTATTTTTGTATCCTATCCTTTGGGTAAATACCTAGTACTACAATTGCTGGATCATAGGGTAGTTATATTTTTAACTCCTTGAGAAAGCTCCATACTATTCTCCAGAGTGGCTGCACGAGTTTGCATTCCCACCAACAGTGTAAAAGGGTTCCCCTTTCTCCACATCTTCACCAACAATTGTTGTTTCCTGTGTTGTTAAATTTAGCCATTCTGACTGGTGTGTGGTTTCTTATGGTTTTGATTTATATTTCCCTGATGATAAGTGATGTTGAGCTTCTTTTCATGTGTCTGTTGGCCATCTGTATGTCTTCTTTGGAAAAATGTCTATTCATGTCTCTGCTCATTTTTTAATAGTTGATTATATTAATAAAGTAATGACAAGCATATAACTAGTAATATCCAAATAATATTAATATTTAACTTTATGAAATAAAACATTTCATTTCACAGTGGTTTGCCTTGTTATATTTTTATGTAAAAATTCACTTGTATTCCCTCAGTGCCTGCCAGCTAAATAGTACAGGGACATCTATAGGGTGCTATTTGACCGGAAGACAATAGCTGTTATTAAAAATCCATAAAATAGGAGCACCTGGGTGGCTCAGTTGGTTAAGTGTCTGACTCTTGATTTTGGCTCAGGTCATGATCTTAAATTCATGAGATCAAGCCTGGTGTCGGGTTCCACTCTGGACATGGAGCCTGCTTCAGATTCTCTCTCTACCTCTTCCACTACCCCTCATATTCCACGCCCCACTCATGCACACACACTCTCTCTCCGCTCTCAAAAAAAAAAAAAAAAATCCATGAAATAGATATATCCCAATACAGTTTTCTGGGTAAGGGGCCAAAGATGCATTATCAGATGAAATGATAAACATAGACTACATTTTGTTCTTCAAACACAAGTTAAAAATGACTAGGAAATCAGATACCTAAGTGGAGTGGGTGAACATGTAACTTAGTTGAACAAAAGAAAGCATGTGACTTAAATAAAACAAGCAGGCTTAAGCCTAAATCACTGCCAAATACTTTTAAAAATAAACTCCACAAAGTATAAAAAAGCTGAATAATAAGCAGTTAAAACCACCTCTCAAATAGTTTTTATTTCCATCTTGAAAATGAATGCTTCAAGCACAGAATTCCCTTGTAAATTGAATTTGGTTATTCCTAAGTCATCTGTTTGATTCCTTAGAGTTTTCATTTACGAAGAAATATTTGTCCTTTAAGAAAGCATTGCAAAAATTATTTATATAAGACCTTATTAACATATTGTTCAGAATGACATTTCCAAGTACAAAGACAAATACAAATGTTATCAAAGCCACAGAGTCTTTGAGTTTACTGTGCTGACTCGTTGGGAAGAGCTCAACACAGATGCTAGAAGATTTCTTTTTAAACCTGACCTTCTCCAATCAGAACAGGTCTGAAAACTGATGATTTAAAGTCTTAATTTATGTCATCAGGTAATATCAACATAAAATTCAAGAGACCTCAGGCTACAAATGATCTTATTTAAGAAAGTTTCCTCTTTTCTATTAGGCTTAGAGTCATTGTTATGCCAAATCTTTAAGTTAAATGAGAGTCCTTAATGGCCTATGAAGAAAATCTATAACAGTAAATTAAATCCAAATATAAAGTCATTATATATTTATGATTAAATGCTTAATAAAAGATGAACCATTTAATTGAGAACAATCCCATTATGTGCACCTTAGAAACTTTTCTCATTAATCTGCCACGGAAATATCACCATTTTATCATTTGTAAATCTTAGAAGCGAATCACATAGGAAAAAACAATGGTTTTGGACAGGTTTTGGGGAATGTAACAATCAGTTTAAATAGGTAGCTGTTTTTTACCCATTGGGCAATTACACTTTATTTTGTTCTTTTATAGTTTTTAGAATAAGTAGAGCAGGCTCTGCTTCCATTAACTTTAAATGTCATGTTAAGAATGTATAATCAAATATTCAAAGGGCACAGTTATGAACCATATGGAGGGTAGAGAAAATTGTTCAGGATTGGTACTGCCTCCAGACTTTTCTAGTAACTACTGGTATGACCTCAGGTTAAGTATTTCACTGATGTGGGCAGATGCCCCATCTTTAAAATCTGGAGGTTTGACTAGATCTACTCTAAGGTCACTTTCAGTTCTCAAAATATCCTAGGCTTAAATTTTGGTTTAGTCATGATGTAGTGTGAATAACAAACAGGATACTGTATTTTAATTTTGAATTCTGATTTCAAGAATACTTACAGTTAAGGCTGGTGGTCCTGGAGGTCCGGTATCTCCCTAAAATAGATTAAATAAGAGTTGCAGTTACTAATAACATTTTCTTGCACATTTTATTTATAAGTTTTCTGAATGGGTAGAAGCAATATGTAGATAAATTTTGAAGGAAAAAAATAGAATTTCATCTTGATAGGAGTCTCTGCACAATGAAAAATATATCCTGGGGCTTTAGCTCTCATGATATAAACATCACCTTGTGCACCGCCATGCTTTCTGCAGAATTTGTTTTGAAAAGCTAAAATAATCTAATTTTCTATTCTTTTGTCTACTAATCCAAAATTAGAAGGAATATCTCTTCAAATATGGTTACTTGCCAGTGGAGCAGCTGGGAAGTGTCACAACGACAGATAATTTTTTCTGACAAAGTTAGTATGAGGATCAGCAGAAATAATAAGTGGATCTCCCCACTTCATGCCTTCCAGCTGCAAGAAGCAGTCCCATTGCCTCTTATAAAGCTCTGCTAAATTGATATTGCACTTGCCATCAGTTTTAAGAGGATTTGCCTATATTTACGTATTTTTAAATACCAAAATTGCTTTGCTGACCTACGTGAATACAAATTACCAGGTGTATATATTGAGAAACTCTTTAAAATCTTTACAAAATGGCTCATCTGAAGTTTACTATTTTCTGATTTATATGTCACCTATATGCTTTATTGTATCAGGACCTCTATTTATTCAGTAAGAACTCTTAATCATTAAGATCAAGCATCATTGCTATAAGGCTTTTTAGGTAGACATTATGGAGACCTTATACTTTGTGGCATGAAGCTCTGAGATGTGTTCTCATGTTGAGAGTATCTCTGTGACTTTTTCTTTTCTCATCTAACATAGTCACCTCAAAAGTTAAGACTTAGTATTGAGTAATCATTACTTTTTGGAAAAATTGAATAAAAATAGCCAATACTCGTTAAGGAACATTGACATAGCTTAACTCAGTCACTGAGGACCAATTTGTAAGATCAATTTTAACATTGAGGTAAATATTGAAGCCAGATAAGGATTCCCAAATGTGCTGAGAATAGAGAACAAAATACAGGGTCAAACACCCACACATACAGTTCTCAACAAACTGGGATCATCCTATGACCTTATTCTGAATGACTCTTGCTTTTAGTATTTCTAAATCTCTTTTCAAGGTCACTGCCAATATATCATTATAAAATGGCATGCGAGAAAAAGTGGCAGGAAATGAAGCATTCAGACTAAGATTGAGTTAGAAAGTCAACCTCCTTCCCCGCCAAAGGCCACCTGCTTCACCATTATGGTAGCAGTTCAGTGCTACTGACAAAGTTCCCTGATGCAAGGCACAGTTGCTAATTTGGCAATGGAATAGCTAATACTGTTAAGTGAGAGAGAGAAAGTGAAATCTTATAAACACAAATTAATGTCAACTAGCAGTTGTGCATTTAGTCTCTTCAAACTAATTAAATGAACCAAAAGGCTTTTCTTCAGATGCTTTTAACATAACAGCCTTTGGTTAATTTTAACAAAATGAATTTTTGGCAGTTTAATAGTATCACTGAAAAGTCCCTGCATACATTCTCAGGGTTTCCTCAAGAAAAACTGGCACTTCTCTGGGTGAATACTTACCTTTTCTCCTTTTGGACCAGGTGGACCATGAGGACCCAAGTCACCTTTCAAACCCTGTACGAAGAATACAACCAATGTGATTTCTATACACAATTCACAGAAATGCTTGAATTTCTAACAAGTCATTAGTCACAAAATAAATCATAATTTACTGAACTCCCAAATCCCATTCTTCAGTTTGTAGTATAGAAAGAGAGACAACTGGCACTAAAATGATAAGCAACATCTGCGTTGTGGTGAGCACAGATACATTAAACCAGCGTGAGTCCTGAATACTGCATATTTGTGCAACTTTGCTTCCTGCTAAAATTACATTAATTCACCATCTGGGAGAACATCATTTAGATCTATATGAGCTTTTAAGTATCCACTTTGGATTAAATTTGTGGATGTTGTAAATACCTTTGATTTAGCATTGATTTGGCCTTTATAAAGCCTGCCAAAAAAAATTCAAGAATTAAATAAAAAACATTTTTATGTCTCTATCAAGTAATCTAATTGTGGGGGAAAAATAAATGAAGGACATATTCTTTCCCTGTCACTCACAGCCTGAAGCTACAATGTTGTCTCTTTCCTGTTTTAAAGTATGTTTTGGTTCTCTAATTCCTACTTTTTAAAACTGAATTTATAAAGATATTAAATGAAACCATATAAGACAAAGTATCAGATAAATATGTTCATGAATTTTCTGGACTCTTGGGTGTTTCAGTGGGTATTTTGTTGCTCAGACTCAGAAATGACAGCTCTCAGGAAGACCACGATAGATTTCACTGGAGTTCTACAGTTGAAGGTTTTCACAGTGTAAACAGAAAGAAAGTTAGATAGACACATCCTGATTGTGTGGTGAATAGAAAAAAAAAAATCTTCCTTCATCCTTGATTTAACACATTGGATGAGGGAAGGACAATAATGGAAAAAAGAAATATTCTGAAGCCACACAATGCACAGTATATCTAGACGTCTTACTTCTCTTGGCTGAGGGATCCATCTCTCGCTGCACTGACATTTTGTAGTCAATAAACCAGGTCAAATGCCATCAGCTTTAACTACTTGATATAGAAGCCCATGAAGAATTTCAAGAAATGAAGGAAAACTGGATACTTAAAATAATCTTGTTGCAGAGGTTATGTGAAAACTGTAGTCTTACATCTTAAGAAAAAAAGACTTAACGGATGAAAACAGCACCTGATTGGCAAAAAACACTTCACAGTTGTAGAAATACCTTTCAGGATAAAACTCATAGCTATGGGTCTTCCACTGTTACGTTGGAGTATTTACAGAAAAAGGATGAGTGAAAAAGTAAATTATATTTGAGATGTGATATTCTCTTATTATTTGAAATAGCCTTTCCTTCCTGAATAAGCAAAATGAGACTAGTCTAAATTAAGATGTGCTGTGAGTGTGAAAGAAATATAGATTTTTCAATATTTAGTACAAAAAATGTAAAATAGCTCAATAATTTTTATATTGATTATATATTCAAATGATAATATGTTGGATATATTTAATATATTATTAAAATTAGTTTCACCTGTTTCTTTTTACTTTTTTAATATGGCTACTGGAAAATATATTTATATTTGTCTTGAAATTATATCATATTTAGAAATATACTATATAAGTATTATACTAGATCCTATTTCTATTGGATAGTGCAACTTAGAAGTACAAAAACAAGAAGTTGACAAAGACTCTCTCCTTGATCAAACTTTAGTCAGACTCTTCTGAGTCCTTTTTTCGACTAAGCCTGAACCTTGTCCTCTGTCCTGTTCTGTCTTTGGCCTGCTTAGCCCAGTTTTGGCCAGAATCCTGCTCAGTCAGTTTAGAAAGAATCCCCCACTCTTGATATCAGATCAAGTTCCTCATCCCCCACCTCTGATGTGTGTTTGGCCCGCCTTTAGCAAGAATCCTATTAAGTCAGTTTTTCAAGAATCCGCCTACCTTGAGGTCTGCTCTTAGTAATTTTTCATTCACTGAGCCCATCACTCTGTTGGCTATAAATCTCCCACCTGTCCTTGTATTTGGAGTTGAGCTCAATGTCTCACCTCTACTGCAATACCCTTATTCCAATAGGTGTGAACAAAAAGTCCTCCTTACCATTTTAATAAGTGTGAGAATAGTTTTTCCCTAACAGGGTCAAGATTCCTGCCCTCAGGGAACTCACGTTATGAGAGGAAGGTGACTGCTGATAAACAGGACAACAGGCTGAATGTGATGAGTGAGAGGGAGAGAGCTACTATTTCAGTTGGGGTGATCAGAAAAACGCTTCTGTGTGGAGGGGACATTTGTTGTTTTAAAGGATCCAGCCATGCAATGATCCCGGGGGAACGTATTGAGGTTAAAAGGCATAGCAAGCACCAAAGCCCCTAGGGTGAACAGAATGTCATGAGCGTGCAGACAAGGAACAGGAGATCAAGTCAAGTTCAGACAGAGGTCAATGCACATAGAGAACTGCAGGCCATCGTAAGGAGGATGGGTTTTGTTCTAATTGGGATGGGGAAACTACTTAAATGTTTCAAGCAGAGAAATGACATGATGTGGCTTGTTTCAAAAGACATCAATTTGGCCACGATGTGAAAATAGATTGTAGGTAATAGATTGTGGAAGCAGCGTTCCAGGCAAGAGCGCAGGGTGGCTGAGGTAGGGGGGTGACACTGGAGATGGAGAGCAGTGATCAGAGGCTGCACATACTGGGAAGAAGGACATGCAGATATGTTGGAAGAGGGGACAAAGCAAAGGAGGTGCCAAGGCTTAAGTAAGTGATAGGACATTGTACGTTTACTGGACTGAGAAGTTTATTAAAAAAGAGGTTTTCTTTCTGCTTCCTGGTATAACACTATCCAGAGAAAGACACATGAAGAAGAAATGGCTGAGAAAGACACCAAGTACCCATTTATTCAACAAATATTATTGAATATCTACAAATATATAAGACTAAACTCTATATCCTATGAACATATGGACATGCAAATGTTATTTTTTTAAAGGCAACATTAAACACAACATTCAGGAAAATGGTTAACTCTGGGGTGGAGCATGGAGTTACACTGAATTCTAGGTACACTGGTGTTCCAGTTATTACTATGATTCATAATCACCACATATTATATGTTATACAAATATTATTTCTAGGCATAAAATAATACATTAAATTTTTTCAATATTCTTGCCTGACGAACTAACCCTAACTGCAACTTCTGGGAAGGAGTTTTTCGCAAATGAATCAGCTAACCATCCCTGGTTCAATCAACCATGCTCAGGAAGCAGTGGGAGAATAACGCGAGCAAATATAAGCTGATGTGAATATTGAGAGCTATTATGGAAGTATATAGCAAGTGTGAAGGGAACAGTTCCCAGAGAGGCCTAAGTGTACTGGAGGTACTCAATATTCAGGAATGTGGAGTTCAGGAGGGTCAGGAAAAGAGTGGCATTTTATGCAAAATCCTAAGATGTTCAAGCTTCCCTATAGAACAGGTATAAATAATAGTTATCTTGAAGGGTTGTTCTGAGAGTCATAGGTTATAAAAACACTTAGTATATGGTAGGTACTTAATAAATGTTGCTTTTATTTTTCAAGTCCAAGTTTAAGGGATAATTAATAGTTCATTCTGTTCAGGTCTGTAATCAGTTTGATTTCTTATGGAACCACTGTGCTTTAACTCACATATGATAAAATGCAATTGAGAAGTACTGCATTCATCAAGCTTCTACTTTTATGGTCATTGAAGTGGGCCCATGTAACTCAGGTCCTCTTGTGACAAAGTACAATGTTTTTAAGGCCATGGCATCATAATAGGCTCTGAGAAACACATCAGTAATGCTTTTCTCAAGTGCAATTTTTCTCTTCATGTCACACTGGTGCTGCTATCAATGGTTATTGAGTACTGGGGAGAAAAAGATGCAGCACTCACCATACAGCATAAAGAATCAAATGGAACAGACTATGAATTCAATATTGAATAAGATGGGAATCCATTATCAAGGTTCTCAATAAAATTCATGTATATAAAGATTTTCAAAAGCACAGTAGCTGACTCTGTATGTTGTGTGGAGACAGGAACTCTTACCTAAAGGCAAGATGAAAGCTGAAGAACAGTATTATATCTAGAACTATAAAAGCAGTCAGACTATGAAATTAATTTTATTGGAGGATCTACTCCTCATGGTATGTAGCATCTTTAAAAATCAGAAGATACAAAATATTTGTTCAAAAAATTTAACCCATCAATTAATTCTTCACCTCCTCTTCCCATTGACTGTATCTTGTTCCCTAGCGATGGCACAAGCTGTTGCCAGCTGATAGCTCAGCTTTGTGATTTCAATATATTTGTATTCAATAATAAAGATTACATTGGTATAAGGAGATTAACATGATTATTTTAGAAACATCAGATGCTGTAATTCTGAGAAGGGATGTTTGACAGACAATAAGAGGGATGTAGAGGAAGAGTCTAAACTCAGTGATTGCAATCAACTTTTCTAAGATTATACAACCCCATAAAAAAAACCAAACAAGTGAAATGTTATTTTTATTAGAGATAAACGTGTTCTATTTAACCCAGTTTCAAATAATAGTAAATGTTTATATAGCTCTTACTGTATGCGAGACACTGTTCTAAATGCTTTATGCATGATAACCCTGTTCACCCTCAAACACAGATGGACAAAAAAGCCCTGAAGTGTTATTAATATTATCATCCCATTGTGCAAATGAGAAAAAAAAAAAGTGAGGCACAGAGGGAGTAAGTCATATTCCAAGTAGTATGCCAGTTAGGCAGTGGCAGAGCTGGGATCTGAGCCCAGAAAGTCTGGCTTTAAAGGGTACATTAACAACTTTATAAGACATCCTCTCAAGTCTGTTATAAAATGCATTTGTTGAATATATCTCTCAGTAGGTCACAATCAAAATCATTTAATTATAAACTCGAAAGTGTGTAAAATTGAGGTCTTGTATTTTGAAAGCTAAATTTTAGCAATTCAAATTTTTGACAATTTTAATATGTTTGGTATGCATTATTTAAACTATAAGGGAAATAGGAGCATGTATATAGTCCAATAACTTTAGTCCAACACTCTAATACCTTGAAGATCAATCCAAAGTTTACACACACATATACACTACCAAGGATGCACTTAGAAAGATATCAGAGCAATTTTTTTTTTTTTGTCCCTAATGATTAAGAGCTGCTACATTAGTTGGTGAGCCTTTGGGATGCTAACCATTCTGCTCTTGCCAGACAGTCCCACATAACAAAGAACTGTCTTACCCAAAATGCCAATAGTGTCCCACTGAGAAAGACTGAACTGCTGAATATTTCCCTGTAAATCAGGTTTACATTTTCCAAAGTGAGCTTGCCCATTTTTTGAAAAAGCTGGCACAGAAGAAATTATTAAAGGATACATTTACATCAAGATATTTGTAATATGCAAGAATAAAGACCACTAAAAAGGGCTTTTGAATTCATTTCATAGGAATATTAAATTCTTACAATTTTCTTTGACTTGGAAAGTAGCTGGAGTGAGCTGGCCCATTGAGTTTATTCACTTTGCATTCTAACAGAATGTTTCTGAAGTTAGACTCTCCATCATGGCCTGACTTTAATTCAAATTGAAATCGCTATTATAATGCCCTTCATTCCCTAAGAATGTGTACCTGTGCTTATTGAAAGCCAGAGTGAACTGTCATAAGTGCTGAATGATTTTAATTTGCACAGTCAGTTTATTTTAGCCCTGAAAAATAGGCAATGACAAGTGGGCATGATTTAGTGGGGAAATAAGAGATTTTCAGTCAAACATGTAGAGTTAAAAGCTGATTTTACCATTTTCTAAAAAAAAAAAAAGTCGCTTAATTTCCCAACCCTTTATTTCTTGCCTCTGAAAATAGAGATGTTATAACCCCCTGCTCTAGCTAGCCCATAAAGCTAGAGTAAGGATCAAATTTCAAATTCCTTGTGAAAATAGTTTATGAATGATAACACATTATTAATAATACCACCACTAATGATGTAATAGCAGAGCATTTGATTCTTTATTCTTAGTGATAGAGGGGAGAAAAGGAGAATTTTCATTACTTTTTCTTATTTCTCCTTAGTCATGACTCCTGAATATCTTTGGCAAAACTGAGGAAAGGAAAATAATATCATCTACATATTAATTAAGTAACCAAGTAAGAAAAGTTAATGTGCTTTGTCCTGCTTTATAATGTACCTAATGAGCTACATTAAACAATGATGGTGCTAAAGAAATGACAGCCCTTTGATTGGGGGGCATGCAAAGAACTCTTCCAAGATCCTCTCCAAGAGGAAAGCTCACACTGCCCACTACACTATGTGCTCTCCTAACAGGTTGGTCTTATTCAGGTTTGGAACTCCTATAATGGTGGCTGGAACATCTGAGCATGCAGTAGGCACTCACATATATGTGTTTATCAACTGATTACTTCTAAAAAGCCAAACCAGCTTACTTGAAGATGCCATAAGAAAAATTTCCAAATCTCTAAGTTAATGTAAATAGATTTCAGAGTCCAACCCCTCAAATCTCCAGTTTTATTCAGGTGTTTGGATAAATCCCTCTCTATTTCAGTTACAAAGTTATCTTTTTTAAAGATTATTTATTTATTTATTTATTTGAGAGAGAGAAAGGGAGAGAGAGCGTAAGTGGGGGAGAGGAGCAGACAGAGAGGAAGAAGCAGATTCCCCTGCTGAGGCAGGTAGCTGACAATGAAGCAGGGCTCCATCCCAGGACCCCGGGATCATGACCTGAGCCAAAGGCAGACACTTAACCCACTGAGCCAGCCAAGTGCCCCTCCAATGTTATCTTAATGAACTTCTAAAAATCTTCGTTTTGTTCCTCCATCTCAGGGAGCCCACATACATGCAGTTTGGTTATCTTTTGTAACACTATCATTAATTTCCTTCAACACTCCTCTGTTTTTCACAAGTTAACATCCTTCCCATAATGAATGGTCAAATTCTTGAGCTATTTTTGAGTTTTCAGTGCTATCTAGTGCCAAACTGTATATATTTTACCACTGTAGTATCACCATCTATGTACTCCCTTCCATCTCTGTTATCCTACTTTAGGCTCTAATTACTTCTATTTTAAACTATTATAATACTTTCTCAGTTTTTAAAATTAAAACTTGGCAAATAATTATTGGGAACTTACTCTGAAAATATTCAGTAAGTACTAAGGATTCCAAGAAATGGTCTTTGCTCTTGTGAAGAGTATGATGGAAAAAACAAACCATAGGCAAAGGCCTAAATTTTATCCATTTTATAGAACACACAGTCAAACTAATCTTCATTTAAACACAGCTTGGAGGATGTCTTCCCTTTGTCAGAGGAAGGAGGGCAAACATCCTTCTAACAGCACCTTCTGTACTCTGGCTCCAGCTGTAATCTGCTTTGTTATTTCTTCATCTCCTTACATGTAGCAGGAATTCCAAAAACCTGAATGGATGCTTTTCAAGTTTGTAATCTTCATAATCTCTTTGTATAAAATTATAGGACACCATAGTGATGGGGACCTTAGACTCGACTCTAAGCCCATCCTTTACAGACGTAGAAGTGATTTTCTCAGCTAGTGACAGAACTGGGACACAGTGGGCTCTGGCTTTCCATTCCAGAACTCTTGCTATGATACCAGGTGCCTCCCCTGGTGGGGAAGGGAAGTGAATCAGATGCTCTGTTTGAGTGTAGGCGCCAACAATTGTGACAGCCAATGTCTTGATGCATTTTAAAGAGCTAGAGAAGAGGCAGAGATTCCTCTAGCTACAAGCTCTAGGTGCCAGTTCCTGTCCTCTCATAGAGAAAAATCACTTCAAAGGGGAAAGGAATAAGAATGAGGGTCATATTAAATATATAAATGGGGCTTCTCCGGAAGTAACAAGAGAGTAAAGCTGTGGGGTGTCAGAACCTCAATCCAGTGTTGACTACAGGGTGAATTACTGGGGTATTTCTCTTTTGGAGAAACCCCCTCCCCACACTCAGGTATCCCTCTTTGTCCCCAAGCCCCAGGGACTGTAATGATCAGCTTTCCTTCTCACTGTAGTGATCTGCTGCATACAAGATGGGTTTCATAATGCCTCTAAGGCATTAGGGGACCAAATCTAGTTTCCTTTTCTCTTTCATTCATAAAGCAAGTAGTGTAGTGTAGCCCTTCAGAACTTTTCTAAAACATTTTTATGCAAGTGAAAAAAAAAACTGTGGGAAAGAGTAATTCTCATGGTGGTCACTTTCCCCAGTAAAGTTAGTGTATTTATGGTAAATGGTGATTTTGATGACCAGAAAATTAGTCTATATTTCAGAGAACAACCCAGGTTTGGGATAATTTTCAAGTTTCATCCTAAGAATCAAAGTGAAGCTCAGGGGACGGTCATCCTAAGATAAAAAGAGGAGATGCGAGGACATCAGGATGTTACAGGCAATAGTAGCCCCGAGGCTGATGACCTGGCGCAGTGGAAGGGCAGGAACACAGAAATATAAGTCTCCCTTCCCCTTCTCCCCTTCTTTTCGTCACTGCAATCCCACCATGCAGATCCTTCAGTAGATGGAACTTTGGTATAAGATGAAGAGCGACCCTGGGTAAGAACACAGACCACATGAGAAAGTATGTAAGAAGAAAAAAAGAGGAAGACCAGAAGAAAATTCAATCCAGAAAGAACAAAAAGGAAAGCGCTGTTAAGGATGACACAATATGAAATACGTAAACCCAAGGAACGACCCATAATGACATTTAAAAAACTGCCTTGAGGGGCGCCTGGGTGGCTCAGTCAGTTAAGCGGCTGCCTTCAGCTCAGATCATGATCCTGGGGTCTTGGGATCAAGCCCCACATCAGGCTTCCTGCTCAGCGGGGAGTCGGCTTCTCCCTCTGCCTCTGACCCTCCTCCCTGCTTGTGCTCTTTCTCTGTTTCAAATAAATAAATAAATAATTTTAAAAAATTTAAAAATGCCTTGATTCTTGATTTTGCCTTGATTGTGGTTAGTTCTTCCATGGATAGTTAAGTCTTAATACCCTTAGACCGTCAACATATTTCTGTGGCAAAATGTAAACAGAATATTAGAAAAAAAAAATGTTAGGCTTACATTTTGTCCATTAATGCCAGCCAGGCCTGGATCTCCTTTTTCTCCTTGTTCACCCTAGAAAGAAACAATTTATACAATGAAAAATGTTATAGCCTGAGAACCTTTACTAAGAAAAAACAAGAGCGTTACATTGTCGGGGCATTTGTAACAATGTGATTACTTTGCTAATCCCTTGAAAGAAACATTTATTAAAAAACAATTCTGAGTCCTAAAACCAAAGAGAAGTTTAAAGGTTCAAAGAAAATCTGTATAAAAATGATTAAATGGTAGAAATAGAACAAGGATTACTTATTTTCTTCTATAAACAACAAAGAACTTTCTGGAGGGCAATTTGGCAATATATATCAAGAGTCTTAAATCTGTTCATTTAATTTGGCCCAGTAATTCTGCTTCCAAGAATGTATCCTAGGGAAATAATCAGAGATGAAAAGTTTTAGGCACTAAATTGTAGAGTGCAATGCTACTTATAGCAGTAAAAAAGAGATATATCCTAAATGTCCAATAATAGGGAACCAATTAAATAAATTATGGTATATAAATATAATGGTATATAATACAACCATTAAAATCACGTTTATGAATTTTACTTTATACTACAGGAAAATTCTTATGATGTAAAAAGTAAGATACAATTAAGGGATTGACAAATTCAATGAATAAATGTTAACAAATACCTTTTTTTAAACTTTAAAGCTACAAATGTTCAAAATGACCATTTATACCAATTGTTTATGATACATACCCATAGTGACATATATTTTTGTTTATCATCTGAAAGATGTATACTTTTATTGGCAAATGCTGCACATGTCTAACATTATTCAAAACAACTAAATCCCTGTTTACCTATGCATCTACCTACCTGCTTACCTACCAACTTATGTATCCACCTACTATGGGTCTTAGAAAAAATACTGGAAGAAGACAAACCAGAACAAAAGAAGTGGTTAATCTATGGATTCTGTGATTATGGGTGATTTTTTTTCCTTCACTATGTTCTTCTTTTTCAAATTTTTAAAACAATAAATATATCTTATCTCTATAATCAGTAAAATGTCTAAAAATAAAAGAATATATTATGCATATAAATAACTCATCCAAGTTGCCAGGTCTATCACGTAACACAGTGTGAGTGTATATGCGTGTATGTAGTAGTATTTGTAGTAATCTCTGCTTTGTGCCCCCAGGATGATTTTTATCCTCTTCTTTATTCTGTTGTCCCTCTTCCTTCATTTTTTTTCTTACAATGAACACTATTATTTTTATATGCAAAAAAACCTAAAGAAAAGCATCTGACTTTATGAGAAATACATTATACACTTAAAGACTCTGTATTATTACATCTAAGACTTTGTATTCATCCAAGACTATGTATTATTACAATATTGAAATCATCTAAGACTATATATTATTATTATATTATCTAAGACTATGTATTATGATACTATTGAAAACACAGGATATGAAGTAAAAGAACTTAATACTGGAATATAAGAAATATATATAATACGAGGATAAACAAAAGTGTATACAAACACATTCAGTGAAATAGGTTCAAGTTAGTATAAAGCTGAAAATTTTAAACTGAAAATGGAAGGGCAAGGAAATACTCTAGAGCTATGCTGTTCAATGTGGTAGCCACCAGCCACATGTGGCCATTTACATTTAAATGAATTAAGATTAAATAAAATCAGGGGAGGAGAAAGATGGTGGAGGAGTAGGAGACCTAAATTTCGTCTGGTCCCAGGAATTCAGCTGGATAGGGATCAAACCATTCTCAACACTTACGAACTCAACAGGAGATCAAAGAAAAGAATAGCAACAACTCTCTGAACAGAAAAGCCACCACTTTCTGGAAGGTAGGACATGCGGAGAAGTGAATCCAAGGTGATATTTGGGAGGATAGACAGCGGGGGAGGGGGCCTCCGTCAGCCGCTACTAGCAAGTGATAGAGCAGCAGAGCACAAAATCGGAACTTTTAGAAGTCGGCTCCGCTGAGGGATGTCGCTCCAATGGCTAAGCAGGGGGTGGAACACTCACGGGGACAGTGTGGTCTCAGGACCCTCAGGGTCACAGAAAGACCGGGGGTGCTTGAGTGCGGCAGAGCTCCCAGGTATCGGAGCGGGGAAGCCAGCTGAGAGATGGAGCTGAGGAATAGGCTCTCAGCTCGGGGTTGCCATAAACTGTGATCCGTGGCACAGTCGGCCCACTGCTCCTCCAGCAGGGACCCAACAAGCGGCAGGTCTGGGGAGACTCCCCTTCCTCCCCCGGGAGGAGCGGTGCAGGAGCGCACCACAGGGATCTGCTGGGTTTGGAGATTCCACACGGGGTCGGGTGCCGGAGATAGAAACGCTCGGTCACAGGCCGGGTGAGCACAGAGTGTGCCGGGAGACTGGGGAGACGGGAATGACTGACTGCTTTTCTCTGGGGGCGCACTGAGGAGTGGGGCCCTGAGTTCTCAGCTCCTCTGGGTGGAGCTTGGGAGGCTGCCATTTTCACTCTTGTCCTCCAAAGCTGTACGGAAAGCTTGCAGGAAACAAAAGCTCCCGAGAGCAAACCCGAGCAGATTACTTAGCCTGGACGGCAAGGGTGGGGCAATTCCGCCTCAGGCAAAGACATTTGGGAACCATGGCAACAGGCCCCTCCCCCAGAAGATCAGCAAGAACAGCCAGCCAAGACCAAGACCAAGTTTACCGATCAATGAGAACGGTAAACAGACCAAAATATACCCTAAATCTCTAGCATATGGCTTTGTTCTAGTCTTCTGCCTGATCACATTTTTTTTTAATTCTCTTCTTTCTTTTTTCAACCAACTTCTTATCTTATCAATTCATTTTATAAAATCTTTTATAATTTTCATCTTTACGATCATATTCCATCCCTTCATTGTATTTACCCTTATTTTTGTACACATATAAGTTTTTCTTTCTTTAAAATTTTGGGAGGCACTTTCTTATAACAGACAAAAATACGCCCAAAATCTAGTGTGTGTCACTGATCTATGCACCAGCCTGATCATATTTGATCATATTCTGTTTTTTTTTGTTTGTTTTTGTTTATTGTTTGTTGTTTTTTTTTTTAACTTTTTCTTTTTTCTTTCTTTCCCTTTCTTTTTCCCTGTTTCAGGTCTCTTCTGATTTGTTTAGTGTATATTTTTCTGGGGTCGTTGTTACCCTGTTAGCATTTTGTTCTCTCATTCATCTATTCTCCTCTG